GGCAGGGAGGGCGCGTTCCCGAACCCCTCGCTTCGCACGGGAGGAGACGAGCCCCGTGCAGCGCTGTTGCACAGGACGCAGCCCCTGTGCTTTCAGGATTTTTTATTGCAAACATCATTAGGGATGAGAAAGATGGTCCTGTGGCCCTGCTTCGACCTTTCTACTCTGCCCCCTTCATGTTTTCCCCTGGGTAGGTCTGTCTTCACTTAGGCGGTTGGCAGGCAGCACTTCCTTTTCCATTTACTAGTTTGCAGCTAACTTTAGCACCAGCTCCCTTCCTGCATTAGGTGATTCACGCAATCCTAGTGAGCAAAGATCCGGCGCCGGGCACTGAGGGGACAGGAAGCGTGCGTCCTGTGACCAAAACCCTCCCTTTATGAACAGAGATGATTTTCTCCCTTTGACAAAAGATGCCTCTTGTGCCAACGCCAGCTGTGAGGTCTGCAGGAAGAAGGAACAAAAATAACTCGGGAAACCAACGTGTGCTGTTGAGAGCATGCGGCTCTGAAGTGTAACCTACTTTGAGCAACTATTTTCAACAAAAAATTGTACTAAGTGGTATTGGCCTCTGCCTCTAACGAAGACATGATATTTTCCGTTACTTGTCCCACTGCTGGAAGCGGGCTTCTTCCTCTCGTAGTCCAGGAGCAGTTTGCACTTTCCTATTCTGAAAGCACTGCAAAACGAGCACAAATACTATTTTGGCATCTCACCCTTACGTTCCTGAACATCATTTAATTTCTTTAGGAAGCAGGCTCCCTCCAGACACGCAATTCAGAAGAATTACACCAAAACTTTTAGATCAGGGGTGCCAAACTCCCTTGGCCCCTCCAGCTGCCCCCAGCCAGATCAGGAGCACGAGGCTCATCAGAGCCAGGATCCAAACTCAGTTCTAGCAGCCAGACCAGCAGAATTAGGGAACAGCAGGGTCAAGGCAGCTGCCGCTCACTCCTCTGCCACAGATGCACGTCCCCCACGCGGGTCTGTGCACCAAAATTTAGTACCAGGCCCTGCCCAGAAGCCCTCTGAGCTGGATGCACACCGGATTCTTGACACCCCTGATCCAAATCAGTTACAAAACCAAATATTACATCCTGCTCAATCTTGCCACCAGGTGGAGATGACCTATTATTCACAGTAGACTGACTGGTGAGGAATTTAGCATTTCTTTGCCTCCTTTAAACCGTCATGAAATGCTAAAAGTTTCCGTGCATACACTGGATTCTCCGGAGTTGGAGGAGACCCTCTACCACTCTTCTCTGAAAGATCCGTCCACTTTGCAAATCTTCTGTGAACTGAAGTAGTTTCTACCTGAACAGGTTTCAGGTGAAGTGCAAGAAGTTCTTCACGTAGCAACATGCTACAAAAAGGTAAGGAAGAGCAGGGATTGCACCAACCATGACAGAAGATTCCCTTTCAAACTAAGAACTAATTATTTCACGGCAGGTTTCTACATCACCTTTTAGTATAAAATATCCTGAAAATTCTTGTAAAAAGGAGCATTTGGCTATTTCTAACTGCTGTAACACACACAGTATATATACACACACACACACACTCTCATAAACGTGTCTCATTTATTTTACTGTCTACGTAATTCAGGCCTATATAACGAGAAGGAAAGTAGATGAACAGTCATTACTTTTTCCAACGGAACAGCAAATTCAGTAATTAAATGACATTGGAGATTTCTGCATACAGTTTGTTCATTCTGTTATGTTAACAGGGTGATTATATTCTGCCCAAAGCAAAAAGGCCAGGCAACTGAAACAGGCCATCTTAAGAGCAAAGCCAGGACAATTATGTTCCACTAGAACTAGAAAGAAAGCTTTAACCATTGTTTTGTAAGTCATAACTAAGTACCAGTAAAATAGCAGCAGCCACTGCCCTTACCTACCATCCACGATGCTTTGGCAAATATTGTTAATATGATAAGGATTAGGTCTTGTGACAAGCAGGTTTGACACAAACCAAGCTCCACTGAATAAATGGGTGTATGCAAGGCGGTATTTCTGCTACCACAACGGTAGAATCATTTATCTGGAACATCTTTTACCTGCACTAAAACTTACAAAATGTAATCAAGGGGAACTATTACTTTTCTTTCATTCAGTCCCTTAGTTCAACCTACTCTTACACCCTCTCCACACACACTTCTTTCAACCCAGCTCAAGTTTACACAAACTACAGGCCAATGTGCTAACAGTACCGCTTGGGCCTAATTCAAATAACCAAAATACTGTGAGTTTCACCATATCGATTTAATACTTCCATGTCAGCATTCCAGGGTAGATTAGCTGATCTGAATTTAGAATCATCTTTCAAACAGATTAGAAAGCAAACAATAAACCTCCCGCATCAATCCATGCTGTATTAGCATAAGCTTGATGCATCCACCTTGCCACGTTTTCCCCAGGCGTCATAATTAATAACATCAGCCCAGTTTGCTTTGAACTTTGAGTTTGCGACAAGATTTTATTGATTAAATTTATATTCCACTCCTATAAATTTATATGCCCGCCCGCGCGGGGGGGGGGGGGGGGGGGAAGCAAAGCTAAATGCAATTTGTAATTAAGAAGTGACAGCATCAATAACATTATGATCCAAAAAGATCACGGTTTCCTCTTATACTAGTTTAACAGAAGGTCCTTTGAGGGTTAACAGGAGCTTACACACAGGCATCCTAACTAGCTGGTTAGAGTAACCATGATCCATTAAATGCAACAGCAATGTCATTATTCTCTTGTTCACTTCCTTCTTGCAAAATCATTTGCCAAACATTCAAATAAGGAGGCCCTAAATGCAAGCGATATCGTTTTCAGATGGACAGCCAAACCCTCAACCCTCACTGAAGTCAATACGACACTGCTCAGTGCCTTTACGGGCAGATTAACTCTACTTCAGTGCCCAAATATCAATGAGCCTGTATCTGTCCACTCAGGCTGTCAATTTTTGAACTTGTCAGTTCTGTCAAGAATACCACACAATTTCAGAACCTACTTTTGTGAAAAAGTACAGAATATCCATTGATTAAGGGACAAATAAAAGACAAAACACTTGGTCACTAATAAGATGCAGTTCTCTTTATTAATAAGACATTATTACAGCACTTTAGATGAGACAGAACTTTTAATAGGCCTTTACCGTTTGCATATACATATCAAAAACAGTATGGTAAAAGGCACTGTAGGTAGAATCTAGCTATCCAGTGATGATAACAGGAATCTATAATATACTCCTCACTACGGTATTTAGAGACATCTTCCAAGTACAAGTCCTGAAATTAAACTATTTTGACAAGGCCTCAACCCTGCAAAGACTCTGGACAGACTCCCTGTGGAAGTCTCTGCAGGGTCAGGGCCTCAGCATGGAGAAGCAGAAACAAGACCAATTAGGATTTTAGATATTCACTTGTAGACCTGCCCAAAGCCTTGCATACTTTTGCACACAGCACATTTTAAATGACATTAAATCATACTGCACAACCATAAAGTGAGTGCTAAGACACTATATACATCCATATCAAAAGCACAACCAACATTTACATTGATAAACCACCACCTGAGTCGAAATGACCACCTTTTATACCAAAAAAAAGGTCAGTCCCTGGCTGAACTGTCTACCTAGCCTGCCATAATATATACACAATATTGATAATGAAATTATAAAGTCACAGGTATCAGCTTCTTTTCAAACAAACATCTACAGACAACTTGTCTGTGAGGCTGTGGGACCTCACATTGAACTATATACATCAAGGACCGACTTCCAATGCAAGAAAGCCCAATCCAATAATTCTCTGACCTATGTCAGTGGAGTAACTTTGGTTGATCTTTTATCTGCACACAGAGATGCAGTAAGTGCACGCGACAGAATTTTAGAAGTTAGTTAGAACACGGGATTATTTCATAATCCCTCCTGTCTAATAATCCTGCTTTACAGCGCAGTTACTAGCATCTATGTACCAGCACACCACTTCAGTGCTTTTTATCGGTTTACCATAAACTTAAACCTGAGCAAGGATATTCCCAACAGCAACTTCTATTGGGTTCTTAGCAGCCTACAAGAAAGCTTCCCCAATAGAGAAGGAGTGAGAATGGTGGATCGACTTTGTAGTCGTTTTACAATATTTTCAAAAGCAGGGAAATAAATAATTTAGTGTTGAAACATATATTACTGTTGGCAAACTTAAGACAGCAAGAGTGCAAAAATATTCATATAGACAAACAGGTGCTGCTTTCTACAGAAAGAATAATTAAAATAATCCAAGTGCTTTAAAAGAATGACATCTAAATGTCAACATCTTTTTAGCAAGGCAGGAGTCATATTAAGGCCCTATCCAAGTCATCTTTCCTTCAAGTCTCTTCTATAAGGACAGCAACACTGAGAAGGGAGGAAGCTGTTTAGTACCAATACAAAACCACGCCTTGCTGACTAGAGATAGCTACAGACAAAATTACTAGGAGAAAAAGACAACAGATGGAGCTGAAAGGGACGACAGGTTTTTGCCTTCCTTAAGATTCATCAACCCATACAGGAAACAATCATGAAAGGAAAAGACTCTGCCGTGACATCTTCAGCTCTGGTGAAAGCAGGAACTAAACCTTGTAAGCTACAATGGGCAGATTCTGGGTAGATCACAGCTCTCCATGTTTGGCCATGCCAGTGACGCCGACCATTTTCACCTTTGCAGCTGGCGTTGGTTAGGGATCCACTGCCCAGGGCACTCACCTCTGCTGCAGCAAGACTAGCAGATTATGCCCAGGGGCCACCTGAGGCTTGTCAGCAATGCAACACAAGCAAAAAAAATTAAACAAATAAGCTATCATTTTTCCTTCTGGGCCTCATCTTCCAGAGGCTTTGCAGAGCCTGCAGGCTTGTGCAAACAAACCAAGGACCAAAAAGGAGCCCTGCTCTCTACCCCTCCTGGCAGCTGCTTAGCCCTTTGTCACCCCAGGCCACAGACAGCCTCTCCCAGCACCTTTAGGCTGCTTTCATAGTCTTTATTCTTCCCCCTGCAGGTACACATGGTCCACTCTCCTTCATTCAGCACACTGGTGTCAACTCCATTGCTGGGAGATTCATTGCAGTACAGTCCTTTTTCCATCTCTCAAAGGCTCATTGAACTTCCCCAAAAAACGATCAATCATGGTTTACAAGTACTGTATTTAGCAGTGGATGTCTGGAGGGCAGATTCCCTATGAACAAAAATAAGTACAGTTAAGAGTCAAAAATCTATTTTTCACAAAATCCTGTTCAATACGCGACTAAGTGATCTGCAAAACAGTGCCCTAGTTTTACTATTACAAAGAGGAAGAAGTGCAAAAAGAGTTATGTTACTGATATTTCACAGACACAATAAGTATTTAAACCGTAGCTCTCTCTGAAGTGCACCAGCAGTAAATAGGCTCATGCTATTCTGTTTAATAGTTTGGTAACTGATTAATTAGCAAGCACTTGAATACTAGAAGCACATTGGGCAGCGTGGATTCATTCAGTTATTGAATAAACTGTGTCATAACAGTATTAGAGATTGCAAAACTGCATAAAATAAACTCTGCTCTCACCTCTGATTAGCTAAAAACCTTAAGTGAGCCACTTCCTCACTTTGAAAGATTGTTACAGGCACATGAACGCCACACAGATGAAGAATCACAATTTGTGATAACGGAACTGAGAAAATTTCCTTTTTCACTGTGTAGTCAGGCGTGGTTCAGGTTAGCACCTGAGGATTGACATTTTAGGTGTTCCCCCAGCTGACTAGCAATCGTTTTCGTGCGTTCCAAAGACTGTTCAAGACACAAAATCTGACTTGCACTTTTTAATTATGTTTCCAGAAAAAAGCCATGAGAACCGAAAGATAGAAAGTCTCTTGTTTTTTCCCGAAACGACCAAGTATGTGTTACTGCTCTAAACTGCTGACTAGGAGGCCTTCTTGGAGCTGCATGCTGAGAATTACAAGTTATAATTAAGAAGAAGTTAGCAATGTAGGTGTCACATCTAAGACAGTGGACTGGAGATACGGATTCTTCCTCACAAACATGTGACAAGGGCCAGTAACCCCTTTGGCAGCAGCAAAACTCATCTCTAGACTCAAATAGAAACATCCTACTAAGTAGCTGTGAACCTTTCCAAGTGGTACACTGACTTGAAAGGGAAAGTTTTTAAGCCCCAGGCTGAACAAAACTGCAAAATGCATATAAGACAGAAAACCACCTGCGTAAGACTTAAGCTTTACATAAGTATACCTTACCACCGCCCGCCACTCAGAAAAAAGCAGTATCAGATGTTTTCTAATGTACCCTTTGGGAAAAGCCAGGAGGGAAAATAATGAAGGAGATCATGAATGACCCGGTCTATCTGTCCAGACTTTGGACGAAGTATCAGATGTCCTGGAAGAGGTCACTTTCTATCCAGTGTTGGCAAGCAAATCATTCTGGGGATTTATTTTAGGAAACCCAAGTGCAAATGTTGTTGTTTTGAAAGAAGCCAGACTGATAGGACAGTGCACTGAACCCCTTTCACAGTAGAATCAGTACAGCATATTCACACTAAACCCCTCAGGACTGAGCCGAAGCCAATGCAGAGACAAAAGGGTAGTTCACTCTCTGGTATAATTTGACTATTTGCATATAAGACCAACAGCAGCAGCAGCAAGCTATAAGATACCCGACTCAGAGCTCAAAAACCACCAGGTCCATGTAACACATTAATATCCCTGACTTATAAAGGGTATTATACAAAATTCAAAACCACTTTCCTGATAACTTAAGCTACTAGCATATTGACATGAAAATACATCTGCAATGTTATCCTTTGGTACATAACTACGGCAAGATGTCCATTATAATTTCAAGTGACAATATTTCTGTTGCAAAGGACTAAGCATGCATTAATATAATTTTTCAGCCAGAAAAACAAAAACACACATGCACATACGCTCTTATCACACAAAATATAGTGTTCACAGGACACCAACTGCTCAAATCCACCACAAAAAACACAAATGGGGTTTAAATTCTGTTACAATTTTCCAAGCTACATGGGGCCTCATGTAAAAGAAGCATGAACATCAGACCTTCATAAAGAGCCTTGGACTAAGAAAAACACTGAAAAATGCAACTTATTTTGAAGTCAACTGTAACTACTCGTATACTGAAGTGTGCGTGCTCATTTTACCATATGCTTTTGTGACTAACTCTAGTTCATCAGCAATCCATTGCTTTTGGAGCAGTACACAGCAGAGTTTTCAGCCAACTGGGTGACTGTGGAGTGGCACAGATGCTGCCCTCATGCTGCCAAAGTTTCATAACTGATGGAACACAGCACAAATCAGGGCCATCACCAATTTTACTATGGAAAAACTAGCGCGTTGCAAGACAGAAAAAGGCAAAACTTTAATCATCCTCTGGGAAGAATAGCAGTGATCTTCACACAAATCCAACTTAAAAGCACTTAACACTTTGCATTGCAGTAAACCCATATAAATTAGCTAACAGTGGGGTAACGATCAGAAGCCAGCAACGAAGGACTGCATATGTTCTGAAACTTTACATAGACAGCAGGTACAAAACTAGAACTCTTCTGATGTGTTCGGGTGTTTAAAAACAGAAGCTGGCAAAGCTCAATATACTGGAGCACTCGTTCACACCGGAGGAAGGACACAGAGATGATCACGGTTTACTCACCTTTTCCGTGAATGCAATTTCTTATAGGCCCCATATCCTGCTAGTGACGCCACCAGGGCACCTGGAAGAAAACCAAGACAGTCCAATGTCAGGCTCGCCACTAACTTACAGAACAGGCCATTTCCAGACTGTAGCGCTTTGGGAGGGACCCTTGTGACTTTCCTGAGAAGGCCTGTAGCTGTTTAATCACAGACTCACGCAGCTCTTCCTCACGGCTGAATGTTTACTAAAACCTGCTTTAACAAAAAACTTTTCCTTGCTCAGAAGTGTCTCCACAATACTAAAATCATGCACCCTGCGGTCTGAGGATGTTGGGTAAACTGAGCAAGGAAGAGATGTCAGTCCATGAGATAATCTTTTATTTCAGAACCCACATCATTCTAGTTCTTTGTAGAATGCAGCAAAACACTGTGGAAAAGTGAAAACCTGCCTTGGAATTTAAGTTCTCTCACCTATTGATTCCCCCTCCTTCCCCTGCAAAAGGCAGACACCATATTGAGACTGCTACATTGCTAAGAAAAACCAAGCGGGTTTTTTTTCTTTTTCAGGAATGCATGCACACTTTCCTGATACACATGCATTTCAAAGGCAAAATTGCCAGTTCACCCTTACAATCACACACAATCAAGTGAAAAGTAGCTATTCTGCATAAAAAAGTAAGAAGAAAAACAGGCTTCGGTGCATCTCCTACTCAGTTTAAATAAAATTACTTACCAAAAATAACACAGAGGGTGATGATTACACCTAAAATAAAAAAAGGCAAGTGAATTAATCATCATAAAAATAGCTTGCATACCAATTAGTTACACAGGCTAGGGGAAACATGCATTTATTTTGACTTTATAACCTACAAACTAAATGCTTTTTGCGGATTTAAGAGAATATCAGTTAAGACACATGGAAGTCCTTCACATACAAAGGTCTTGTAGCGAGCCAATTTTCACACAGCTTTTATGGTAAGAAAGGAATCAGTAAGTTAAAAATTACTTCTGTCTTTTGACAAATGTTGCAACAGCTGCCTTTCACCTCTCAAAATGCCTTAAGAAACTTGCATGAATGATATTTCAGACTTGGGACTGCATCCTCCTCCCACCCCAAGCAAAGCAATCTCTGACCCACAGACAGTATTACAGGACCACACAAAAGGGAGTCATTTGTGTTTGTGTGCGTTGACAGTTGCTTGTTTTTACTTACCTGTACTTAACCCCTCCTTTAAGTGACACGATGGAATTCCCGGCTTCCACTGATTTCCACCAACATACTGAATCTTAGCTTCCCCGTGTAATGTGTAGCCTGCATCACATTCAATTGTAATGTTATCTCCAACAGCATATGGCGGCTTTCGTCCATCAATTATTCTTCCATGAGCAATGACCAGGACAGTTGCAGTAGGAGTTGAGGCCGAGCTAACTGAGACGGTGGCTGGAAGTGGAAACAGAAAGATACACTTCTTTTTCAGCCTAACACAGAAAGAAAACTCAAGTAATCTTACCTGAACTTACACTTGCAAGCTTGTACAGAACAACCCCAGAAACGGACAACTATGCATGCCATGGGCAACCTCCCAAAAGCAGGTAGGGCATCATTTGACACTAAATACCAAACTATTATCATCTCCATTTACTTAGCGACTTTGCAATGGCATTTGTCCACTGAGAGGGTCACTAGCCTTTAATTCACACTCCGAGGTACATTACAGGCACACTTTCACAAATACACCAGCAGTACTCTGCTATGTTAAGGCTTGATGAGCAGCTATATTTACACTGACATCAGCATGTAAAATATGCACCAATGCCAGTTTATAGTACACAACCTGCAAAATTCCATCCCAAACCCCAAAAGGGTTGACACAAAAAGGTACTTTTCAACTGGCCAATCCCATCCCCCTTTCCCGCCTCCCCCGCTCAGAAAACCAAACCAACATACAGTTTCACATCAGCATCACAGTTCAGCTTTAACAGTCACACGGATTCGCTAGCCAACCGATTCATTCCTCAGGTCATCTAGTTGCTGGTTTCAGGTAACATACCGGATTCATTTTGTGATTCAAACAATCTGTGCAGGATTCACTGCATCACCAATGAGAAATTCAATTCCTGTTCATACTTACTTTGACAAACTGGCAATCCAGGATGCCAGGTATTATCCTCTTGGCATTCAATCACATCACTTCCAATCATGACGAAGCCAGGAAGGCATTTCATAGTAACTCTGCTTCTATAAATATAGTTAGGTGAATATGCAGTTTCTCTTCTCCCATTTGGAACTGCTGGCTCTGGACACTTGACCACTGAAAGAAAGTATCAAAGAACAGAAAGCTCTGAAACATTTGTAGACAGCACCTTTATTTTACAGACACCACTAACAGGTTTTTGTTTTCAGTGAACCTAATTTAAAGTGTATTCCCCCAACACATTTCCTAGGACTTGGACAAGGAAAGAAACGGAGGTCAAGTGTCTTAAATAAGCCCTAATGAAGTGTATCACCATCAAGATCAAAACAGTACAGGCAAATAAATGCCCTTCTCTCCCACATAAAACATGCACCCAATCAAGAAATGCCTCATTTTTGAAAGGCAGAGTGAAGGAAAAAGGATCTTTCCTTGAAAATATTGTTAAGCAGGAATAATTAAGTAGTGGCAGGGAGCCAGATCCTCTGACCCCATAGCCCAGGCAGCACGGGCTCCCTCCAGAAAGCCTGGGGGAGCAGGAGCTGTAGTTAGGGCAGCCTTAGATTTTAATCGTGGATTTGAGGGTTATCAGAGAATTTGTGATTTTTTTTTATTAGGGAAAACCAGGACCCCAGTTTATCACTAAACTCAAAAGCTTCTCACTATAGAAAGATGAATACAAAGAATAAACAACAACAAAAATAAAATGAACCACCTTTGCATCGAGGAGCAGGTGCACTCCAAACTCCATTTTTTTCTGCATCAGAACTACAGTGAATAGTTGCCTCCCCAATAAGTGAGAAAGGGACCGAACCTCTCGGCACAACATTACACTTGTAAGTTACCGATGCCCCGTAGGTATAATTTTCCTGTTCACCAGAGTGCGTCCCGTTTTCTATGTCTGGAGGTGGTAAACATGGAATTGCTGCAAGATATTAAAATAAATAAGAAAAACTGTTGCGTAAGAAGCCACAGCAAAACTTACAAGGTACAACATCTATAAGCAACAGTGCAGGCATTCAGGCAAGTAAAAATAATTACAACAGATTCAACTATTTTTCCTGCAATACTTAAGGAAACTGAACTGCCAAGGTATCAACTACAGATGAACTGACATCACGTTAAGAATACTGGTTTACATAGCAATTCCCCTAAATTAACTGACGCATCCGATAAGTTGTCTTAGTTTAGCAAATAAAAGCCAAAGAAAAAAAAACTAGGACATCACCAAAAATATCAGAAAGAATAAAGAGAAAATGGAAATGTAAAACATAACGCAGATTTTTCTGTTAGAATTAACTGATAACTGTAACGCTGTTACAGTCAACAATAGGAAGCGTGGAAACCTTGTTGAAGAACACCAACACACATTCTGCTATTTCATTACAGAACTGAAAACAAACGGTGTTGTATTAACATTTCCGCAATAAGAGTTTCCAAAAAATAAATAAATAAATAAATAGATTAAGTAATCTCTCTGAGACTGTTATGTACTGACACCCTTTAAGGACTGGCTAAAAGTTTTCCTAAAATCCCACTGTAATATTCCCTCACACGGTTAAGTTTTGCTGCTTATACATCAACAGCCAGGACATAAACACACAAACAAACAAACAAAAAGCTACTGATTCATGGTAAGGTTAATTTGCAAATAAAACTAGTTATGGAATAAGAATCTAGTGGCGATACAAACAAATTCTATGGACAATCCCATAGTTTTAGGGGATAAAAGATTTCTGTATGAAAACTTCAGTCAATGACGCCAAGACTTGCATCTTATCGGTTCATAGGACTAAAAATCTGTAACTTGTGCTAAATGGAAAATACTGCCAAACAAAACAGTTACCCTATATTAATGCAACTTTCCTTTGATTCAATTTGACACTTTAATTAGATTGAGGCCAATCAACTTCCAGTGATCCATTAATCCGGAGTTAATCACTGTGATGGATCATTCAAAAGGTAAATTTGTACAAAGATAAAATCTTCAATTAAAGTTTGAATTTGGCTCATATACACCAGCTACCATAACTTGGACAGCCTTACTCCAGTCCTTCCTTCACACATGCAGCCAATAGCTTGTAAAATAGTTAAGAAGCTACTTTATTTTCTATAGTCATAAGTTTCCTTTAATAAACCTATTGCATAGAACAGCATAATGAAAACTTGCTCTTGGAACATATAACAGTATCTGTTTAACTCACGCTGGCACTGTGGAATTGGTCTATCCCAATCAAGACGTTTGCTAAACAATACACATCGAACAGACTGTGGTCCAATTAATCTGTACCTAAGTAGGAGAAAAAAAAGGAAATCCTTGCAAATAAGTTAGTGGAAGCTCCCGGCCAGCAGCTCATGCACATGGATATACTTCTGTCCTACCAACGGATGAAGCAGCAGCACCAAGGTTTTTAAGCTGCAATTCTCTTTGCCAAGAAAAACCGTCTATTTGGCCACGTATTCCAAACACCGAAGCCAGAAGAACAACACGTAAAAACAGCGATTCCAACCCACGAGTCGATGAAGGTCAGTTTTTCAAGATGTGTAACCCTCACCACGGCTCACATTTTGCAATAACCAAAGCAGCATGAATATACTGTTAAAGGAGGGAAAAAACTGACCAATTAAAAATTTCGGTGTTTTTGTCTTAATTTGTTTGAAGCAGGACCTTGACGTTGTCAGGTCTCTAGAACAGTGACTCTCAGCCAGGGTGTCATAGCACCCTGGGTGCCTTGAGATCCTTTCAAGGGTGCCGCAGGGTGCCACACAACATGTTATAGGGTTGTAACTGTGACTTACAAGCGGAACCCAGAGACTTTAAACAGAAATCTATAGTTGTGGCGTTTCAGAGTTCTTTGCAATGGAAATACTGATCTGTTCTACTGTAGGCCAAAAAAGAGAGTGGAAACTAAGAGCTAGCATGTTCCAAGGGGTGCCTTGAGTCAGTACACGGGGTTCTCAAGTGTAAAAAGTTTGAGAGCCACCCATTTAGAGAAACCAGAAAAGCTACTAAGAAAGTAGTATCAGAGAACACACAACATTTCTTTGGTAGGAACAAAGATGATTTTTTAAAGTAGCTCTTGAAATTTAAAAAAAAATGCTTGAACAAAGACTAGCTTTGGTAAACTGAAAAGGGCTGCTGCAACTGAAAAGTTAAAATATTAGACCCTGAAGAGCAGAAAAAACATCCACTTCTTTTATAATGGAAATACCAGACTCAACCTTTTCAAAGTGGACATACAAGGCGAGTGTAATTTCAGACTCTTCAGGAACACACAAAAAGCCTTCAAAAATGTCTAAGTCTACAATATTCTACTAAAAGATTAAGTCTTAATTTGATGCTGGCTAAATAACAGTAGTACAAGAGAGAAAGAAGGAAAAGCATTCACTGAAATACTTACCCGTCATTACAAGAAAACGTCACTGTTGAATTAACACCAAGACCAGTCTCTGTATGAACAGAACCATGTTGCAGGTCTCCTGGATGATCACAGGACATACCTGAAAGGGAACAAAGATGGGAATTAGGTGTCCCTAAAACGCATTAAACTTCACACTTCCTAGTTTTCCAAAACTTGAACTTCAGTTGCTTTTAGGAACCCCCAGACCGCAGCTCCCCCTGAGGCGGGGGGGGAGGGGGGGGGGGGGGGGGGG